ACAACAAAAAAGAAAATCGTTTAAAGAAACAGAAAAGAAAAAGGAAGAGAACTAAAAAACCAAACAAAAATCCAAAAGACACCGAAAAAGACAAATGAAACCGCCAATAGAAACGGAATATTTAATGGGGTTTTTTGTTGGGAGGGTAGTAGTACTAGGGGGAAAGAAGAGGGAAGCAAGTGGAGGAAGATCAACAAAATTATCATCACTTCAATGTAAAAATGCGGCTAAAAACTTTGCTGACCTTATATGGAGGATATACCAAAAAAATGAAAAAATTGGGTCGATACTGTTAAATGGAAGTCATATCAAAATCTAAACCGATATTGATAATTTTTGGTAGGAAGATTTGGCTCTTCATGAGAAGCGGAAAAAATCAAAATAATAATACTGAATAATGTAGGGTACCATTATATGGGAGTTACCCGGAAACTTGGGTCAATATTGATAATGTTTGGTGGTGAGATTTCCTACTCAATGAGAATCCAAAATATAAAATTACAGCTGATTTGGTTGAAAAATTTGTCCAAGCCCCCCAAAATACCGAATAATGGAGGGTACCATTACGTGGGACCTATCCGAAAACATGAACTTATATCGATAGTTTTTGTTAGGAAGATTTATTGCCCAATGAGAACCCAGATTACCAAATTACAGCTGATTTTGTGGAAAAACGTGCCCAAGACCCCCCAAAATACCGAAAGAAAAAGGATACCGTCATATGGGGGCTGCCCGAAAACTTGGGACAATATTCATAATTATTTGTAGGGAGATTTTCTACCCAAATTACAGCACATTTGGTTAACACACATGCCCAAGCCCCCTAAAATACCGAATAATGAAGGGTAGCTACCCAAAAATATGGGACAATAGTAGTAATTTTTGGTGGAAACCTTTACCTCCCAGCGAAAACCCAACATATCAATTTACGGAAAAATCAATTTGGTCGAAAAAAGTGCCCAAGCCCCCCAAAATACTAAATAATTTAGGGTACCATTATATGGGAGTTACCCGGAAACTTGGGTCAATATTGATAATGTTTGGTGGTGAGATTTCCTACTCAATGAGAATCCAAAATATAAAATTACAGCTGATTTGGTTGAAAAACTTGTCCAAGCTTCCCCAAAATAACGAATAATGGAGGGTATCATTATGTGGACCAATATCGATAATTTTTGTTACGAAGATTTATTAACCAATGAGATATTAATAGTAACATTACACATAAAATTAGTAAAGTTAACCCCAAAATAAACAAATTTAATTCAAATTTATCAACACCATTATATTGACGCCTCCGAACCATAGTATGCTAAGTCCACTTAGCATGTTTTAAAGTTCTTTACGATTTTAGATACTACGTTCCCTAGTTTAAATTCACTGAAATTTTGGTGATCATCGGTCAATCCATGGCACGTACGATTAAAGAAACTTCCATACTTTGAAAGCTTCTACTGAAAAACTCACTTTTCAGACTTAGCATACTATGGTTCGGAGGCGTCGAATTGTGTTTTTTATATTACTGGCAACTTAATAAAATATACGTTTCATTTCAGATGTTGAATAAACTATCGGATATATTAGAGAAAATGGCAAATGATTCCGACACACATGTTACCGTTATTATAACGAATGATGCACATTTTTGCCAAGGTATTGATTTGACCGAACTTGCTCTAGGTGCAGTTGAAAAAAGGAAAAATGTGGTGAAAAATTTATGTTCAGCAGTCAAGTAAGTTACGGCGAATATTTTACAAAAATTATTTATTATAAATGTTGTATACATTATTTTCTCACATCACAGGAGATATTTGGTAACATTAGCCTCATACCCAAAACCATTGATAGCTGGTGTAAATGGTCACGTTATGAATCTGGGCCTAATGCAATTGATATTTTTTGATATTGTCGTGGCTGGAGATAAGTGTACATACGAAACGACATATACTAAAATGGGACAATTACCGGAAAGTTATGGTGTATGGAATAAATTGAATAAAATACGTGGATCATTTGTAAGAAGAATTCATTATAAAATTTAATGCATTGCATTACATTAATTATTATTATTATTTTTAGAAAACCAAATTATTTTGGTTAGGTGAGAAAGTACAATCTACCGAGGCTGCATTGGCGGGTCTGGTCAACAAACTAACTACTGGCACTAAAGTTAATGAGGAAGCTATAAATGTTGCCAGAAAAATGGCTTCAATGCCTCCTGAGGTTAGTTGAGAAGAATAAATTTTGTTGAACTTTTGGTTAACTTTTCATATATTTTTTCCCCAGTCATATCGATCAATGAAAAACACTGTAACACAATGCTATCTGGGAGCCATTGAAGAAACATTTGACGAAGAATTCACTACAATTGCCGAGCAATGGACATCCAGTGAATGTCTGGAACAAATTAAAAAAATTACCGAACAAGGGCATTTTTAGTTACGCAACCTTTTTGTTTCTTTTTTCTTTCTATTACAAGTATTTCAAAATTAATATCATTGTGTACATATCTATTATGTACAAAACATTTTTATGGTTTTTTGATAGGTTTTAGTATGACACCTTTTTTAATCCATTTGGGTTTTTATGTTTCTTTTCATTCTAAGTTAAATACTAAATCAAAAGGGTAGATGGCATACCTACCCACCATCAGTGGCAATTTGAAATTTAATTTTAACTTTTGGAAATAGTTACAAAAAAAATATTTTGAAGCAAAAGTGCAGTTTTATGCAGTTGTAAGTAAAAGAAATTTATGAGAATAAAATATTAACATTACACAAATATATACGTATATGGTAACATGTTTTTTGTTCATAATGAAAAAGTGTGTTTATTTGATTTATTGGAATTGTACACCACGGTACAGTAATACGAGGAAGGACAATTGGAGGTGAATAACACTAACAACTATGTAGGTATTGACTACTTCTGTCCAATAAAAAAAAAAAAACATAAGCAACAAGTTCAACACATACCTAAAAACACGAACAATTAATGAAATGTTATGGTTTCTTCCCGAAATACAATACGGAATAACATAAAAAGTTTCTTCGTTAACAAAATAATTCGAGACGAACGCGGTAAAAATCATTTTCATTTCATTTAAAAATGGTTCACTTACAAACTTTTGGACAGCAGATATAACTCATATAAACTTAACAATCTTTGTAGCGTTTTTCAAGCAGAAATCCTTGCAATCACGAAAGCGGCCGAGATAGTAAAATCACTTACTGCCGACATTACGGCACCGGTGACTATATGTGTCGATAGTCAGGCGGCCCTTAAAGCGGTAAAGTCGTGTACTACAAACTCAAAAGTAGTTCATGATTGCAAGTACGATCTGAATCATGGTTCAATTAACAAGTCGTGTTAGAGGCGAAATGATTTCACCCGAACTGTTAAAATTTGCCTTAATTGTGTGAAAACGTAAACAAAATAATTGACAGTTTGAGGGATTTTCTACCAAAATGGCCGATAATATTCGCTTCTTACACGACCTGTTAATTGGATCATGATCTGAATAATAAACGACAGATAGCTTATGTTGGGTTCCAGGACATAGTGACATTGAAGGGAATGAGATAGCCGATAGCCTCGAGGGGTCTCACAGTCGTCCAATCTTCCGATTGAGATATCTGTGAAACTTCCCATTGGCTATTTCATTGGCAAAATCCGCTTGTTATACTGCGAGGTACTCGGCAACAGATGGTTGATAGAACCTGGTTGTAGAATCGCAAAATCTATCTGGCCTGAATTCTCTCGCAAAAGAACGTCTTCGCTGCTGGCACACAATAAGACAGAGATCAAAATCATTGTGGGGATCACAACAGGTCAGTGCAAGATTAGATCTCTCACTTCGAAGTGGAACTGCAGCGGAGAGGATTACTACCATCTATGTGAGGACGAAGAAGAACTTGAAACAATTGAACATATACTCCGTAAATGTCCATTGCTGATTGGTAGAAGACATAAACAGTTTGGGTGATATAAAATTGATAATCTAGCCTTCTTCTCTAAAATAGACCCAAACCAGATCCTAGGCTTTGTCAAAAATTTGACATGGCTAAAATAACCATTTCTTCGCTCTTCTACTTTCGCTATCTTTTCACCTTGCTCTTCCACTCTCTCTTTTCTTCTCTTTGCAGGTAAAAAAAAAATGATCACAATTGACATTAGTCTCCGATCGGACGGTTGTTACTAACAATGTGGAGTTATATTGTTTTTGCAGCTAATGTTTGTACCCCTTTTTTAAATATTTTACTGAAATTTCATAAAATTATTTTATTAATTTATTTTCATTTACAAATACATGCATTTTATTTAATTTTTTTTATTTTTTTCATATTTTCTTCATATAATACTATATTTTTATTGTGCCACAAAACGATACAATTCTATTCAGACTAAAATAGCGAAAATCTTTTCATATTATATATGATCCACTATTTTTTCATTTGGCGCTTCAATTTGCACCGATTGCCTAATCATTTCAAATTGTTTGATATCACCCGTGATTTTCTCCAAACTGGCTGCAACATTTTTCATATGTTCCCGGTCAATTTGCACCTCAAGGTCTCGTATTTCTTTGGTCGTTTGGCCAGTACGTGATACCAGATCACATATTTCATTACAAGAAGCGTGTAGTGAAGCCAATAGCTTATATGCTTGTTTGGCGTGCGTATGCACTTTAGCACTCTGAAATAGCAAATCATCGGTATAGTTAAATTGTCGTTGCAATTGGGCCGATACCGAGTTTAGTTGTTTCTGGAGATCTCGCGTGTCATCGAGAATTTTATAAATATCATTACGTTGTTTACGAATGTTGCCTATAAATTCATAAATTCGTCGCGTGTACTCTTTACGTGGTGCAATTCCCACGGCTCGTTTCTTTAATTCCTCTGCTAGTTGCATGTGAATGTTGGTTTTATCCTTTAAACTCGTTTCATACTCCTGTATAGCTTGCCGCAGCTCTTGGATGTTTTGTAAGTTTTTCGATTGTCTCAGCTTTTGCAATTCGTCAATTTGTTTGAGGGCTGGTACTCGATGTGCCTGCCATTGATTTTCTACGGTAAGGCGCCTTTCCCGAGTTTTCTCTATCAGCACCTCTAGTTTAGTAATATTTTCATTGGGATTTTCCAATATAACGCATGTTCGTTCATGTAATTTTTGATCTTTTCGCAAGTTTTCCATTTCTGCTACAACGCTTGTTCGTTCTAGGCGTAAATTGTTGAGTTTTTCATTGCAGGCTTGAAGTTCCCGCACACACGATTCATTAGTTTGTTTTAACTCTTCAACATTTTTAATAAGATTCTGGAGAGGAGTGGCCGGTATTGATTCTGTTTTGCGATCAGCTTCTTCCACGTTTTCCGTTCTGCTAACATCAATGGCTTGTAATGAAGGTATTATTGCATCCGGTTTATTAATATCAGTTATACGTACACCATCTAGACTTTGTGCTGGGCTATATAAATCGATGGCACATTTATGTAAAACCGAACTTACCAGATCACAATCAGCTGCTGTGGTCTGTTGAAATATATTTGGAGCTTGATAAAATTCCTTGGACTGCAAATCGCCCTCCACTTGTGGAATGTGTAAATTTAAGTGGGGTAAAAAGTCGACTGTAAGACTACTATTCCCATCGGATTTTCTATTCGCTAAACCACGACAATACTGCGGAACCCATGGTGCTTTTAATTCCCTAGATATATTCTTTTTAATTTCCTTCAATAATATTTTGTATTCATTTCGTTCTGATCCACCCTCTATTGCATCCAATGAATCATTTAGTTTTGGTAATTGTTCGATTAGGAACATAAACAGCCGTCTGGTATCTACAACATTCGGATAGAGAAACGTCTGATATCCAATGTCACCGCGATATCCACATGCAATACACGTCTCCGCCAGCGTAGATGCAATGGTAAATCTTTGAGCCATATTCATATTTTCAGGCAATGATTTGGGTAGAACTACATCCGGCTTAATTTCCTGTAAACATCTTGATACTGACCGCACAAGTAGGTCTGGTGTAAAATGGTTCAAGCCGAAAACGTCACTATCATCAGTTTCTAGTTTGCATCCAATTTGTTTTAATGAATGTATAATAATTTTGTCAACTTCATCCATTTTGAAGTCTGGAAAGTTTACAAAAATTCGCAAAAACAGTGGCCTTCTCTAGCTACCATATAGAAACTCAATTCAGGCCATGGCACAATAAAAAAGGTATTCACTTTAGCACAGCTGACTATACGATTAACTGTCAAAGTACATAATTGCTACTTGGATTTGACAAGCAATGTTGCCAACTATGAGAAATATTACTAGATAAAATTTGAAACACAAACAATTGTTCGCCCAAATAAATTTATAATTCTATTATTTATTTTATACGAATTTAACTTTTGAGGTGAATAAAATCGTACGCATACGGATGAATTTATGCCATTTACAGACGAGCGTTGTTCGCTCTCTCATTCATTGTTCGACCCTTAATTATGAAGTTATTACTTAGTTCCCCATACAAAATTGTCTGAGCGAACACCGACTTTTGTACATTGTTTAATTCGAATCACTCTCTGAATAACCAAGAAATTTGTCCCATCCCTAACAATTGAGAGTTTTTATCGAAAATAAATTAATTTTGACAGCATGAAAATATTTATAAAATTTTCAAATTTTTTCAGTAAAATTGAAAATGATGAATGAAAAGTAAAAAATTGTATAGTTTTTATATATGCAGCAGAATGTAAATTTTTTAATCTACATAATGTAATATGCATTTCTTTTCCTTTGGTTCTAAATAGCGTACAAAACAAGAAACAATTGTGGGGAAACTTAAACAAAAGATTCTACAATTTTTTATATGAGACATTTGAATTAAGAAAATAGAAAAATGAAAATAAAAAAAAAAAAAACATTTTCAGAAAAAATGGAAAACATGAATGAAAAAGTAAATAGCTATGGGTTCTTACAATATTCAGGATAAAGAGAATAATTAATTAATAATACACTCAAATAAGTTGAGATTTCGGTGTAAAAGGAGAAACAAGCTATTTGAAAAAGAAAATTCTGATGACATGTGTTTAAGTGGGGAATATGAAAATAAATACCCAAATAAAAGAAAACACAATTATATTAGAATTTGTCCAATCGAATATTGGCGTTTTATTGTCGTAAACAATATTACCTTTTTATTATAATTTGTGTTGGTATGCTCTGTGCAAGCTTAGTGGACGAAATCCATCAAGCGTAGTTTGAGACTTTTTCTAGACAGACTGATGCAAAGGCGGGCGCGTAAACCAAACGTCAGTGATTTGACTTTGACAGAAATACTTTGCCCCGAATGCGCAAAGTTGCAATTTAAGGTAGTAAGACAAATAAATATAAATCTGAATATTATTCTTAATTAAACAACATGAATTAAGAATAGTGTTGTATGAACGGGTTAATTGATGTACGTAATTCTGAGAGCGAACTACGTTGTTCGAATGCTCGTCAGAACATGGTATTACCCAAATATGCATTGCATATAACCATGGTACAATTATAAATGGTAACAGCAAGTCCCAGCTGATTTGATTCCAACGTAATACTACACCTTTTTCAAATGTTATTCCAAACATTTCAATTGCAATTCGAGAATTTCATTTGTAATTCGAAAATTCAATTTGCAATTCATAACATTTCAGTTGTTATTCGAGTATTTTATCGGCAATTCACAACAATTCATTTGTAATTTTAAACTTTTCATATGTAATTCAAAAAATTCCATCTGAATTTTTAAGTATTTCATTTGTAATTTGTATATTTTTATTTGAAATTCAATGAATTCAATTTGAAATTCATAAAATTTTACTTCTAAATCATAATTTTTCAGTTGTAATTCGTAAAAATTCATTTCAAATTCTTAAGTCCAAATTTAGACTAGGCGAGTTTACTTGCGACAAGTCTTTGTAGGAGAGAGGGGCAAGGGGTATAGAAATGAAAAAAAAATTGCTCGTACCGACAATTTTCTGGCAATTCGTTTTGTGTATTCCGTATTTTTTGACATTTTATATATATTTAAATGTGAAAAAACAACAAATAAAAACATTTTTTGGAAACCGAATTGCCTTGTATAGACGCAAGGAGCAAGTTCAAAAGAGAACGATAAAAATTGCCGCAAGTAAACTCGCCTAATATAAATCAGGACTAACATTTTATTTCAAATTCGAATAAAATGAATAAATTGAACAATAAGTGGGGTAGATTTTTTATGTAGTGAAAAATAGTATTAAAAAAAACTAACATACACACATATATACAAATATATATATATATATATATACATATATATACATGAGAAATTCATAATATATATATATATATATATATGTGCGGTTTTTAAACGAATGAATAAAAATCTATATAAATTAAATTTAAATACATACATTAAAGTTCATGATGCAAAAAAGTATAAAGTATATAAAATTATAAAGTATATTACATTAATATGTACATACATTATTACCCACCTTAATGTATTACACATATTTTGGGTGTTTCCCATTACATTTTTCCAATTTAAAATGAAATGTTATTAATTTCAAATCAAATATTACGAATTTCAATTGAATTTATTTGAAAGTTGAATGGAATTTTATAAATTTCAAATGGAATTTTAGTAATTTCAAATGGAGTTTTATGAATTTCCAATGGAATTTTACGAATTTCAAATGGAATTCTGCGAATTTCGAAAGGTGTTCTATGAATTACAAATGAAATTCTCGAATTACAACTGATATGTTATGAATTGCAAATGGAATTCTCGAATTGCAAACTGTATGTTATGAATAACAAATGGAATTCTCGAATTACATTTGATATGTTTTGAATAACATGTGAAAAAGGTGTAGTGTCAATATGAATTTGACAAATTATGTTTTTAAAAATCACCCAACAGGAAAATTGGGAACGCATACAATTCGAAATTGTTCATTATTAAATGTCCTCCCGTATTCATTTTACTCAATCTGCCTGTTGGGAAAGTTTGAGGAAGCAAAGCTTTCTTCATTGAATAACTCGCAATTCCCTGCATTTTCATATGTGTTACACATATAAGTGGCAATAGCTCAATTATAGGAAAGATGTGGAAGCGATAGAAATATAAATTTCAGAGATTTTCATTCATGGTTTTCAAATAATATTTTGAGTATTCGAAAATATTTTATTTTCAAAATTAATATAATTTATTCGTTTTTTACATTTTTCTGTCAAATGACGTTGACACTAGTATAACTTACAAAAACAAATTTCCATGCGGTTGTTGTATCGTTTGTTGTACAACAACACTTGCTGTTACCTTCTATTATTATTATATAATGGCGTATAACATTATAAATTTATTTGGGCGAACACATGGAACACATCCAACGTAATACTACACCTTTTTCACATGTTATTCAAAATATATGAAATGTAATTCGAGTATTCCAACATATAATTTGCAATTCGAGAATTCCATTTGCAATTCATAACATATCAATCGTAATTCGAGAATTTAATTTGTAATTCATAGAAAACCTTACGAAATTCGCAGAATTCCATTTGAAATTCATATAGTTCCATTTGAAATTCGTAAAATTCCATTGGAAATTCTAAAAACTCCATTTGAAATTTATAAAATTCTATTCAACTTTCAAATAAATTCATTTGAAATTCGTAATATTTTATTTGAAATTAATAACATTTCATTTTAAATTGGAAAAATGTTATTGGAAACAACCAAAAAATGTGTAACACATTAAGGTGGGTAAAAATGTATGTACATATTAATGTAATATATTCAAAGTGAATTTGTCATGTATATATATATGTGTGTGTGCGTGTTGGTTTTTTTTAATAATCAGCCTTATTCTGGATGTCAATTCCATGTGAATTTACTCGCTCTTTCCCTTCGCCTTATTCTGAACAACATTTTCCAGTGAATTTTTTCGCATTCTCGCTTTCGCCTTATTCTGAATGAAGTTCGAAAGCGAAAAAATCCGCTTTGGGGAAAAATTAGGTATTCTGAATTACAGGGAGTAGGAGAATGAGATGAAATTTTGTGCGAAATTTTTCGCTAATAAATTTAAAGTGAGTTGACTATAAAAACATAAGTAATAACTATTTTTATGAAAAATATTGTTACGAATATAACTTTAGATTTAAGTTAATTTAGATGAATTCCGTTAATTTAAGAATTTGAATTGTAACGTAAATTTCTACTACGCAGTTTATTTGAATAACTTCACAACAACAACCACTGTATAGATTTTTCTACATCCTTCCATTTCCTCTTTCATTTTCTATTTTGTTATTGTCGTACAATTCTTGTTAAACGTCATTCCTCTTTCTTTGTTATTCCCTCGCCTGTATATGTGTTGTTGTTATTGTAAGTTTGTTTACTCAAGTTTGTTGTTGTTATTGTTCACTCAGTAAGTTTGTTGTTGTTATTGTTACTCAATGTGTTTGTTGCATTGGTAGATTGTTCGTGATCTAGGTGTTACCAGATCGTCTAGAAACTTCTGTAGCGACAGGCAGGGCTCATATAAATAGAGGGAATGGAAAGGCAGTGAGTCAGTTGTGAATCAGATCGCGAATTGAAACCGTCGTGTAAAGTAAAGTGCAAAGTAAAGTTGTGTGAATAAAGTCATTGTAATAATCGTAATCTGAACGAACCCGCGTTTTATTTGGTACGAACTGTATCGGGAAATAAAACAACGTCTACACGGGAATAAGTGAAGTCCAAGAACGTAACAATTGGTGTCGGAAGTGAGATTACGATAGTACTACGATGAAGTTTAAGGATCTACGAGTGGAAGACTTGAAGAAGGAGCTGAATAAATTGGAATTGTCCTCTACTGGCAACAAGGCTGAACTCCAAAAACGTCTGTTGGATGAGTTCGAGCGCCGTGGTATGAACATCGATACATATGAGTTTGACAGTAAGGATGAAGTGGATTTATCGGAAATGGGCGAATCCAACGGTGGGGAAGTCTCGTCAGTAGCTGCCAGGGGTGACGATTTCAGAGAAATGCTGGCTAAAATGTTCGAAGAGAATTCCAGAAACACGAGACGAATGTTCGAAGAGAATTCCAGAAAGTCAG